GGGGGGGGGGGGATGTCGGCTTAATTTCGTTTTCACTCGCCGACCAGAAAAGGAGGAATCGGATCGAGGCTGCCACCGGCCATGCCGAGTTGTGTAGGCCGTGTCTACTTCTTTAGGGAATGCTGGTATTCTACACGCCCACAGGAAAGATCGACAGACAGGCTCTTTTTTCGCAGAGAAACGCGGTGACCGGGCCCCAAACATGCCGCATTATCGAAAATTCGTGTATTTCGCGTCATATTTGTCACCCAGTCATTGATGTCGATAGACGTTTGCCACGACAACGAAGTCAATCTGCGCGTTGTTTCTCCTGGCAACTGGCCAAAAAACGAGGTACAGCCAAAGTATTGTTGACTCGACTTCATGTTGGTCTACGCCACAGAACTAACTAGCACCACCACTCAACTGTCCGCGTCAGGTGGAACCAGTGCGGGTGCTAGAAGGCACTGAGCAGAGACCCGGGACAGTATTTAGTGTGAAGACCAATAACAACAGCAACAACAACAACAACAACTCACCTCCTCGAGGGAGTCCAGGGCGTCCTTAACGGGGTTGCTTATCTCAGAATTTGTGACGGCGCCCTTGATGGCTTCGGCGGTCCCGGCGCCAACGCGGGCGCTCGCCTGTGGCACCTGCTTGGTCAGCAAGTCCCCCGCCTCGCGGAGCTCGGCTTTTACCTGCGCGGTCCTCGTGCAGAGCAGGCGAGCACGTCCAAATGGGGCGTGGAGAAAGAATGAAAAGCGGCAGGAGTGCGACATGTTGGATTCGCAATGGGCACGACGAAAAACGAACAATTTTGTTGCGTAAGAGGAGGAGGAGGAGGAGGAGGAGGAGGAGGAGGAGGAGCGAGATGAACTGCGCATACCGGTGCGTATACGACATCGTACGCCACCAGGCCAAGACCACGACATGAACGCCATTAGCATGAAAAAACAAAACAAGAACAACGGCAACAGCAACCGCGACAGCAACGGCAACAGCCACAACCAAACACTATAACAACAACACACGTCAGGCGGACGTTCAGCAAGCCCCGGAGAGTTACGAAAGGGACACGACCGCGTGTGGCCGACCCAACCATAGCGTCTGAGGGAGTGAATTAAGAAGGCCCGTTCATACGAAACCACAAGACAGGTCCCAGACGTAGCAAGCAAGACAAGTTCGAAAGACGTACTTTGTAGTACGCGTTGAAACGTACGACACACTCGAGGGGAAAAAAGAGGCAATGTGACGTTCGGTTCACAGACAATATTTTGTACTTGAAAAGGAAGTACCAGGAACCAGCGCGGTATATAAATAAAATCTAAGCATCTCTTTTACGTATGATTTTTTCAGCAGCGCTGTCGTGGGAGAGGTTGAAAACAAATAAAACGTTAAGGAATTCACGGCTTACCGCTGGGCTTTCCTGCACGGCCTTGAGCGAAGACTGCAGGCTCTTGAGGATCTTGTCAAAGGAGGTCAGTTCCTCCCTGTCGTCAACGTGCACAGAAAACAGCAAACAAACAATCGTCGGAAAGAAAACAAGAAGGAGGAAACTGTCAGCCGTAAAAGTACCACCCTGACTCTTTCCGAGAAACTTCCGCGCTACATGCTTCACGGATACCAGTTCGAGAAAGCTGCAACGAACGGACAAAAATTGACGACTCCGACGACTCCCGCACCCCATACGACAAAGCACATAAAACGAAGAGACCGTCGTCAGAAAGCCAATCGGAGGGTCGCGAAACCAGCACCAAAATATTCGCCGGGGCACTCACTCTTCACCCCCTCCATCCAGCGCCTCCTCAACCTCATTGGTACGGTTATGGTAAGGGAAAACGCTGGGGATGGGCTGTAGGAAAAACTACTTCAATTTTCTTTCCCCGGATAGTAAATATTCTCCTCGGACTCCTTGTAGGGGTTTCGGGTCAGTGCTAACAACAACCAGGCATCAAAGCTAACAGCACGTCCTCACACGGTGACAACGGATACGGTCAGGGCTAAGAATGGGGAGGTGAACACGCCAAACAGCACTACCTAGACCGGTGAAAACCGATACGGTCAGGGCTCACAGCAGTCCGGGGCTAAATCAACGACGCAAAATAACACTATCTTACCCAGAGACGGCGTTCTCGTCGAACTCCTTCTTGGCCGCCTTGAAGGCGTTCGCCACCGACGCAGCCGCGCCTGCCAGGGCTCCGATCACCAGCACCGTCGACGCCGCCACGTCTTGCCCCGCGGGGGACCTGAGGTAGTCGCCCAGTGAGCTCGTCCCCGCCGAAACCGACTGATATATCGTAGACAAGGTAGGCGAAAGGGAGGGAGGGAGGCGGAGGTCGTCGGGGGGAACGGTCGGACCACGGCAAAATAGAAACCAGACTCCGGGATACCGCGCATGAGGAGGGCCTTCCAGATTGAAGGTGTTGGTTGGCACTTCGCAAGGTCTTCTTTGCCAGGCGTGTGCTGGCGGGAAAGGGACGGCCCACGTTCTCACGGGACCCAAAAGCCGTGCACTGTTTTTCCCTACGCAAGGTGATTAGGGGGGAATGCCGACTAGCGGAGAACAAGAGGGCTACAGGACAAGCTTTCAAACCCGTCCCTCCATCTCGGTACCAACCTGTTGCGGCACCCATCCATGTACACTGCATACCAGGGCTCTGATGTTGTTGATGTCTTGTTTTCGTTGTTTTTGTCTTCGCACAACGAACAGTCCCGGTCTCTACCCGGTACCTTTTCTAGCATCCGATGCAGACGAGCCGCCCCCCCCCGGTGTTTGCCATCGGGATTAGGTTGTCGTCGCTTGGCAAAGACGTTGTATAACAAGCCAATTCACTTCGTGAACTCGGCAACCAGGTTACCGTTTGTTCTTTTTACCTCCGTTTTTTTTTTTTTGGCGGTAACCATAATGGTGGTCGAGTAGATCATGTTGTGCGGGGTGGAGAACCCTCACTCCGCGCAAGGGGGATGATCGCACCACGTTGTGTATAATTGGTCAACCACCCTCGGGGCAGTTACACAGTGCTTATAACTGTCTCTGGACGTGAACACCAGAAAATAAATTAAGTCATACGCAGCTGTCATCCGTACGCAAGGAAGTAAGCACAAGATGCCGAACACCCCTAGCAGGATGCAGCACACCATTCATGCGACTTGCCGAATATCTCAGGGCGCTTCGCGCTTGGTGATGTGGGAGCCTGGTCCGGTGAGAATCCGGCGTGCTCCGTCCCGGCTTTGTAGGGATTAGAGATCACTGGTCTAACGACAACGGCATGCACGACTATGAGTACACCCCCCGCCCCGCCCCCGCCCCGAGGGTTTCCCGGTCGATCACCTAATCGAAGCCCACCCCTGACCTTTTCCTAACACACCCGCGGTTACCTCTACGGCAGATCGCTCCTTTCAAAGGAGCAGCTGCAGTGTGCCTACCCACAAAACGGTACACAATTGAAAAAAACAATCAAAGAGAAAACAAAGAAACCACCTACACAGGTCTACGAATCTCATGGAATCATGGCAAGCCATGTCTCCGTGGCTCCATCATACCTTGGCAACCCCCAGCGCAGTGTTTTTGGACGATTCCGTGACGGCCTGCAGCAGTTCTTCCTCGCTTAGTTCCGTCGAAGCCTGGAATGCCCTGGCGGTCGTCATTTTCTTGGCGCCTTCATGTTGAGACGGGAACAGCAACAACGAAAAATGAGAACAGCAACAACTATCAAGGGCAAGACAAGGACAACGATTACCAAGACATGAACGATCCAAGTCACGACGTACAGTACGTCACCAGCAAAGGTTTCTTACAGTTCAGGCAACCCCCACCACCGCCGTGTTACGAATGCCTTCGCCTCCCCCGCCACCGTGCATGAAACCGTCCAGGCCAGCCATTTGCTCCCGTAATTTCGCATGGCGTCATTTTTCGACTTTTTTCTCCAAGTGCTTCTTGAGCTTTAAAGGAAATGCCAGGTTGGAGGTATGGGGCGTACTTATTGCAAGTTACATGTCAATTCTTAAACAGCTTTAGGAATGACTGTAGTAAAGTATTTTGCCAGAGTCAATGGATTGCCAAGAGGTGTTCATACAGAAAAAAGTTTGTTCAACGGCCTCCTTCGCCTCCACTCCGAAATCAGCTCACGATGAACCACCGCCGTATGCGAAAGAGCCACACAAAAAACTGGGCTGAAAAGGGAATCCATCGTCTGGCCACGAAACACCACCTACGTTCCGAAAAGTCGTAATGTGCTCTCGACAAGTGGGTCCCGCAAGAGAAAACGACACTAACATCGACGGTGGAAGCGGGGGAGCCGCAGATTGCCGCTGTCTCCCCCTTCCCGTCAACTTCCGAGCCCGGCATCGCCTCTCGCCGTCATCGCCGTCATTTCCCCCCGTGCTTCTTGGCTGATTTTTCCGACCATGGGCATTCTTCTCTCTTCGCACCTCTGCCACCTCTGCCTCCACCCGCTACCAGCTCGGCCTTGGACACCTCCCCGAGAACCTCCTTCTTCTGCTGCACCGAGTCCAGCAGCCGGGTCCGCAGGAGGCCCACCTGGGCGTCGCTTGCCTCCATGCTCTCCGCCGACGACACCAAAACCTGAAAAAGAAAAAAAAAACACGCGAACACAAGGCAAACGCAGGGAGGACGATGAAAGCACATAGAAAACGAGCGAGCGCGCGTCCAAAGAAGTAGCAGGTACGGCAAACACGTGCAGTTTCTTCTTATTGCTACCAAGGTATCTGTCTTAACTCCAGAGAGTAGGATAGACTCCCCCATTAAGCCCCCTCACGCGGTCCCAGGTACCTTCAGACGCATTTTCTGTTTTCAGTCATACGGAGACTCGTCCTTGCATTGGTCAGCCGGCTAGAGCAGCTGATACTAAGAATAACAATGCACCGGCACACAAGTAAACCAAGTTTCCGTGCACGGTTATGTTGCTGCCCGACGACGCACTTGAAAGATCTAGACCGCGAAACACTCCCCAGGAACGGACGTTTTATTTCCTTCGCCTTTGGCGAGATATAGCGCGGAAGAGGAAGGGCTGCCGGGGGGTCAGAAAGGCTTGTAGTACGAAGATGTCCCAATGGCGCCACACCACCATGACCGCTACTGTACACCAACAGCAGCAATATTCATCAACAACAGCAACGACAACAGAAACAAAAACACAAAAGCACCATTGCTACCAACAACAACAACGACGACGACGACGACGACGACGACGACGACGCCAGGTTCGGACCCACCTCCTGCAGGTCTTGCACGTCCTGCCAGTTGTAGGCCCGCAGGCGAGCGATGTCTCCCTCGGCAGGCAGCGCCGCCACGACGCCGTTCATTGTTTCGGCACGGGCAGACGTGGACTTGAGCTCTTCCTCCAGCTAGAAGTCATGTTTTTATCATGGCGCGGGATGAAGAAGACCACGCCAACACGCGGCGGAATCACAAGGTTGAACAGGTAGGCGGTCTTGGACAATGGCATACCGAGTCAAGTGACACGAAACCAGCTCCTCCACATCAGACAACACGGCAACCCTATTGAGGCCATCTCACTGAACGTGTCCACACAATCGCGGCACAACAAAGACGATATTTCCCCTTGTCCCCCTTGTCCAACACGTCACAACCCTGCTGTCTCTCGAACGAGTCTCACCTTCTCCTTGCACTCGACGAGATCCTCGAGCAACATCACCTCGATCGACGTCACGTCAGCCTGGAATATTTTATCGTTTCACCGCATGGGGAAGGAAGGGTGGTGGGGGGGGGCTTACTCTTATGTTTTGCATGCCTTAGCGGTTAGACCATTGACCACGCGTCCTCGAGAGGACGGAGCATTGCTCCCACAGGACCGATCACCGAT